ACTAAACATTTGTGAGAAACCACAGACATCTTTGAAGGATAATCATTAAGATGCCATCCTGGTTTCTTCCCTTGCCTCTTACATGAACTCCACAGTGAGTTAAGTTTGGGGGTTTTTTGGTTGGTTGTTTTTTTAAAGAATTGAAAGAAGCCATATTCTGACCATTTGAAGCCAAAAAAGAGACTTTTCAAATGTAAACAGCAGTTACTAATAGCATGTCTTTGTGAGAATTACCTATCACTTTGTTAATAGTTGTAACAGTGAATTGATGGGGCCTGGCTTTCTAGATTCTCCAGAGTATCTCATCTCTGGCTGAGCTTTTGCACTGCAGCCTTTGCCCTAAGATTCCAGATAGCATCTCCCTGTATAAAATTCAGAGATTACTACAATCAAATACTTTTGTTTACATGCTGGTTATATACTTTTTTAATAGTTAATCTTAAAGAAAGTGAACGTTTCTCTTTCTACGTAGATATTACTTAGGCATCAAAAATTCCTTTTCCCCCCGTTACGTACTGCTGTCGTCTATAATTCCTTCTTCATCAGGTGGAGAGAAGGGGATCCTCAGTCTCTAACATAAGAGTAGCAATAAGCAAGTTTCTTACACAAAACTTCTGGATGGTCTGAAGTACTCCCATTCCTCGAGATACTAATGAGATGTCTTTGCATATCCATCAGGTAGATGTACTGGAGTCTCAGTTCTCACAGCTTCTGCAGCAGATAAATGCCACACGAGATTTTGAGAGTATACGGTTGGCTCACGATCATTTCTTAAGTAACTTGTTGGCTCAGTCTTTCATCCTCCTAAAACCTGTAAGTAGGTCTAGTTTTCACCTTTTTCTACAAATTCTCCAACTGCACTAAGAAACACACCTTTTTGAACAGATATGACAAAACATATATTTTAAAACAGATCAGTGATAATCTGCAAAGCACAGATTACAATTCTAGGAATAAGGCAGGTTTAAACTGGAACAGATAATCAAATTAAGATCACTTAATTTACAGTTGGTGAGTGTGAATGCTGCATTCCTAGCAATTTTAAATCAAGATGCTTTCGGTGTTCAGTTAACCTTACTAACTTAAATTTTATCACTATATTTTTATCACAGGCCATTTTATTTAAAAAGTACTAATGAGCATAATGCTGGGAACTGTATTCCTCAGGGACTCATGCTGAAATGCATTAGACTAGGAAAAATGGTCTCTCCTACTTAAGAGAATAAAAATACCTGAGTGGACTTTTAAGGGTCTTTTTGTCTTTTAATAAAAAATGCGTTATAATGTTGGAGTATATTTATAAACACTTTAACTTCACAAAAGCATTTCCAAAGAAAGTTAGTTTCAGTGAAACAGTGTCTTTTTGCTCAATGAGACTATTGTAGCATAAAGGTGGCAGAATACCAATTATCCAGTCTGGAATTTTGATGTGTTCCAGTAGTTACGTCTCTGAAGCATTTGGGCTTTCTTAACACTCTTGAATGCAAGTTACCTTGACCAACTGATACAAAAAAATTCCAAGTTCAGTGAACAGTGAAATCAAAGCCTTGAGCCATAGCTCTTGCTGGTCTTTATTCTTCCTTCTTCATCCCGAAGCTGCAGTGAATGACCTGCCGGTTGGACAGGAAAGCCAGTGTTCAACTACTCTGCCTATGTGGATGGCTCATGCCAATCCTGTTTCCCCAGTAATGTCTGCAAAAGGTTGGAGGGAGGGGGGAAGGGCGGGGGGAGAGATGCAGCATAACATTTAAACCCTTTCTCGATAGAAAACCTTACAAAAATGCTACAGGTACTTTAACATCTTCCTTACTGGTTAAAAAATACAGTATCACAACATCTTGATTATGAATGATGCAACTTTTTGGGTACCAAAAAGTGCTTTCCTTGTGTTTGAACTCTGTTTCAACTACTTATCTTGTGCTTTTTATCTCATGCAGGTTTTCCACTGCTTAAATGAAATTCTGGATCTTTGTCATAGTTTTTGTTCTCTGGTCAGTCAGAATCTCGGCCCCTTAGATGAACGGGGAGCTGCACAACTCAGTATTTTGGTGAAGGTGAATCTGTGTTTCTGTGGATCTGCTCTTTTTCCATGCAAATATCTGCCTAATCTGCCAAGTTATCTTGGCTTTAACAGTTGTAGTACAAGAGTGTGAGCTGAGATGTTCTATATAAGGACTGGTAATTATTTTAATCAATCAACCGTACTTAGGCTGGAAATTCTATGTGCACAGAGAGGAGGAATGTGGGCAGATATTGGAACAGAATGAGGCAGGTATTTGTTGGTGCCTCTATCCCTTCTTTCGGATAACTAACACCTAGGTATTCTTGTGGCTTACAGCTTACCTTATCCTGGACCACAAGGATCACTTCTTGTGCAGTTATTCTTTTCGTCAGGGTGTTAAAGGAGTGGTTGGGCAGAAACAGAGATTAAAGGCTTGCTTGCTTTCTGAGAGGGCCCAGAACTGACTTCTTCTAATTTGTAGGGATTCAGTCGTCAGTCATCACTTCTCTTCAAGATTCTGTCTAGTGTTCGCAACCATCAGATAAACTCTGACTTAGCTCAACTGCTGCTACGCTTGGATTATAACAAATACTACACCCAGGCTGGAGGAACCTTGGGCAGGTAGGAATATCTTCAGGGTTGCTTGTAGCATTATCCCGAGGTACTTGGAAATACAAAGCCATTTCTATTGATTGCTTCTAGTTATTTTGGCTTACCCAAAGTGTTGCTAAATACTATGACAGAGAAGTAACAAACCAACATGAATTAATTTTTGCATTTCATATGCTTTCTCCCCTTTGTTTTGGCAGGAAGTTGAACAAGCTGCTAGCTCATATTGGCTGAAAAATGCTGATGTGGGTTGATAAAGGGAGTTACTTTCAACATGTAATTAATACTTTACCCTTCTCTTGCAGTTTTGGGGTCTAAGTACTAAGACCTTTCCTTCAGGGTGTAACCAGTGACGCATCAAGCAGTGGAGACTGGTGGAGACAGTTGGGAGAATTTGCACTCAACTTCTCTGTAGCTGGCTCTTGCCTGGTGAACTACTGTTTCAGAAGGAATTGGCAAGGAAGTGCCACTTATGTGAGGCTGCCCAGTGATCACAGAAAGCTACTCTGTTTTTTCTGAACTAGTAAAAAAACATGCTTTCTGCAGCCCCACATATTCTTATAAATGCTTCTAGGGAGGCAGTCCGTGCCTCTTCAGAAAGGGAAAAAGCACCAAGAATTATAATGTTTTGACTCTACAGCTGGACTATGCTCCATTGCAAGTTGGAGTATAGAGAAGTAATCTATTGTTCTTGACTATGAATGAAGTTTTAACTGTATTCAGAAGTTCCACTTGTGCAGTAAACCGATTTACAGTACACAGTCTCTGCTGATCAAATATATACCACCTGGTAAATGAAACAGCAATAGCAATTTTCAATTGAGGGGAAGGGGGAGGGAAAAAGGAATAGATTTTAAGAATCTCTTTTCATGCAGTACACTATTCTAGCATATCTGTACAGGTGAAAGAGACAGCAGTGATATCACATGCTTTCTCTATACAGTGTAATACATTTTGTGCGCTGATACTACATACGCCTAGACAAAGTGGGAGCTTTGCCTTATTCAAGTACCAAGCACCCTGTGCCAGCAGAAAAGTGCACTCACGCTGAACCTCAGCAGACGTTTCCCGAGGGTGTCTGTCTGCTCCACTTGGGCTGTTTTCATTCCAGACTAGTAAGAATGCTACTAATGACTACCCTACTGTACCAAAATAAAACCATCTTGTCATGCAACTGTATGGAATATTGTCAATATCTGCTTCCCAGTGCAAAGGGAAGAGAGTGGCATAGCTATTCTCTGTCAGTGAAAAGCAGTATCTGGCAGAAACTTCTTGCCTGTTAATAAGATTTCGTAACCTTGCTACAACAAACAGACTACCTTGCTGCAAGTCCATTTGAATGACTGGCAGAAGAGAGCCCTCGAGTCCATCACTGGGGGTGCTGTATCAGGTTTCCAATTTGAACACAAAGGTTGCCAGGAAACCAGCCTTCCCTTCAAAGGGTTTTTCATGTCCTTGGGGGGAAAATAAAATCCTCTCTGCTCGCTCAGAAAAGACGCAGTTAACAAGAGCCAGCAAGTGTAAGACCTGGCACCTTCCATGCACTACAGCTGTTTGTGGTAGGACTGTAGCTAATGCAAAGTTTCAAATCCTGTGACCATGGAAAAAGCTAGAAAGGTAGAAAGCATGTTGTGGGATTTACAGACCAACACATTCAGGTGTCTGAGCTAGGAAATGATAGAGGAAAAACTTTACACTTCTGAAGCAGGGGACTAAAAACTGTACATAGCTGGATGGAGGCCTGGGTGTACCTTCAGCCTATAGCATTGTTAGAGTGAAGAGCTTTTGCCTTTTTGCCAGCTTAGTATAAGATGAAGTCCCTGGTTGTGAATGCAGAAGCCCAGAAGCAGACGATTTATCTCATTATCATTTGAAGATACACAGCACTTACATGCTCTTTGAACCCCAAGTCTCCCAGCAGTTTAGCTGTCCAAGGTTCTTGAGTCTGTATCTCTACTTAGGTAGTGCCAGTCTCCACTAAGGCAGGTTAATAGCTATATAGTCACTACAGGAAAAAAAGAGAGGTAGCCAAAACAAAATGGCACTTTGTCCTAGAAATTTGTAGCAGTCACTTAGTAACACCTTAATGAAATCAATGGAAAAGAACAACAGCAAACTGGAGAAGTACAGAACACGGTATTCTTCCAACAAACAGAATTGCTGCTGCCTTGAACTTTGTGGTATTTACTTCTGTAAATACAGGCTGCCAATGGAATATGCCCCCTTCCCTTCCTTTATAATTGACTTTGTGTTGAGGTCAGCCTTTACCCAAAGCAGAATATTAGTGCTGTTCAGCTCAGAGAAATGTAAGCATTTCTTTTCTCTTTGTCCTCCTTTTCTGAAGACATTGCCCTGGAATAAGTTTAGATAAATGAGGAATCCCAGCAGATACCACAAGAGGTTGAACATTTATTTAATCATAAAAGTCCAGCAGATAAAACTATATACAATAATCCATGCATACTGCCCATTTCACAAATATTTGAAATCTGATTAAAACACAGTCTGCACAACAGTTGGGGCAACAGGGCAAAGTTTTCATTTACTGGGGGACATAGTCATGTTTATATTTTGGATGCTGCTTGTAGCCTACTCTCTCCCCAGCAATAAGGCTCTGGATCACCCACTCTTGTGAGACAACAGGCAGCTGTAAAGCTTCTGCACACTTCAAGACAACAGCTGGGCAGGAAAAATCAGTCACCACCACATCATAAACACCCAAAGCAATATCTGCACGGGAGGAAAGACAGGCATCTGTCAGGTGAAGAAAGAGAACCTGCTCTGCAGCAGCAGATCATAGAATCACTGAATCCTAAATGATTTGAGAGGGACATTAAAGCTCATCTCATTCCAACCCCCTGCCATGGGCAGGGACACCTTCCACAAGAACAGACTGCTCCAAGCCCCGTCCAACCTGGCAGATCCATGTGTTTTACCACTTTGAATCTCTCTCACATGTCCTCTCGTTCCTAGGCAGGGAATTCTCTTAATACAAGTTAATACAGCAACCCTGCGCCTTTTGGTCCAGGTAAGAGAAAACCAGTAGCCAACATTACAGGCAGGACACTGAGTCCTGACCTCAGGCTGGGCGTACTAAAACCTACATCTGTACGGAGAGGGTTGAAAAGCTGAGTTGAAAAGGACAAGGAAGTACAATTTGAGATGCCCACAAAAGGTCCAGGAGCAACTCTTGCCTATCTCCCCCTTTCAACATAGGCTGGAAGCTAACAGCTTGCTAGCTGCAGCATTTCCTGTGCAAAGACAGGTCTCCCAGATGTAATCTATATATAGATTATATTCAGGAAGAGAGCAAGTGTCTTGCAGTTTGCCTTCCTTTCTGCTTATAGACAACCTTGTAAGCCATTCTAAATGGTTTTAAACTGTACTAGAGTACCCTAGCAGAGGGTTCCCTGAGAAACCAGCCAATGAGTACCTTTGTTGTGAGCATTTGAGTAATGCTGTTTAACAGATGTTGCTCCCCCTGTCATGAGAATTTCAGACCACAGGTCCAGGAAGCTCTGTTGCTGGTCTGACACCAGGAGAACCTTTAGGTTATGAAATGGGTTTTCTCGTGGGTGCCTGTAAAGAGAAATGCAGACTACTAAGAATACCGAGTAGTCTAGTCACCTGATTGGCTCCTATATTGGTTCTTGTGTACAATGACCCGCTCTTTTACTACCCCTCCTGAATTGATTATCCTGTTTATAGAGTAAAACAGAGCTAGACCATAATGGTGGAGGGGTGTGTGCAGCAGCCTAAATCTGAAATTAGGCTAGGCTCCAGAACCATCTTTCTTGTACAAATCCAAAATGCTTCCACTTTGACAGGTCTGTGCAGGAAGACATCAGTCTCCTTCTTGCCCAAAAGCCTACAGCGATTTACAAACTTTTTTTCTGCCCCTCACCTTGCCTGAGGAGTCTGAACTGACAACTGTTGTCTCAGAACAGACCTACTGGATTAGCCTCCATAACAAATGCAGAAGCTAGCTTCAAAATGTACCAAGGAAAAAGGAGTATTGCTCTCCTTTATTCATTTCTGAGCAATTAGAGAAGTTAGCCAGATGTGCGGGAAGCCTTTCCTGAGTTCTGTCTTCCTCATGAGAAGACTGACTCCTTTCTTACTTCCCAGGAGACTGTCTTTTTTGAGTATATAGCACCCATATGTATTTGACACTAGAGGTCACAGTAAATTCACAGAAAGAGATGGAAGTGCTGTTCCTGTATTGAAGGAAAAACATGGAGAGCAGTACTAGGGCCACCTTCAGTACCTGAAGATATTCAAGAGCCTCCCAAGCGTAACAGTTCTCTTGGAGATTCTGTGGACTCAGATCACAGTTATTTGGCACTTACCATTCTAGCAATTTTTGCTCCTGGAGGCTATATCCAGCTGGCAAAAGGTAATTCCGATAATTTTGAAGCTGGTTAGCATGACAGCTATCATGGACCCAGATATGAGACACACAAGGGATCCCGCTGGCAAGGCACAGCAAGTATTTCCGAGTTCGACAATGCTGGTCCGCAATTAAAAGACACTGATATGCTGCATTACACTTCAAGAGAGATAAAAAGATACGTAAACAGGAGACAATGCTTGCAAAAACCCCAGAAATTATCCTGCTGGTAAACACTTTAAAGAAAAGAACTGAAACCCTGATTTTCATAGCCTTGTTATGTGAAAGATGAATTAGATAAACGTACTATTGATTTCAGAATCTGTTTAATAATCACCTATTCCAAGCTCTGCAGTTCACAGAGAAAAAAAACTCCGTCTAACAGTTTTTGCATCATAACCCTCTTCCAGAGGAGAAGAGATCATTTATTTATTAGTTTGATACTCAGTCACTAGAGAAGACTGCTTCCTCAGGCAAGTTGCTCCAAGAACAATTTACCCTCTTTATTAAAACACTCTAAATTTGAGTAAAAGCAACACTAAATTAAATTAGTTGTCCAAGGAGATCTGGTAAGTGAAGAGCTCTACCTCTAAGTGTTCCAAGGCACAGACTTGTGGTGAGACCACATCTGCACCCACCCCTAGGTTCTGCAGTACACTGAAAACACCAGACACGCTGGAGCAGGCTCAGCCAAAGACCACTTAGAGGTCTGGGCACTGGAGCACCTGACATACAAGAAGAGGCTGAGAGAGCTGAGCTTGTTAAAGCTCAAGAAGGGAAGGCCTGAGTGGTCTTATTAATGCACATTCATGACTGATAAGAGGGCGTACAAAAGATGGAGCCAGACTCTTCTCAGTATCATCCACTCAAAGAACGAGAGGCAACAGTTACAAACCAAAATAAAAAAATTAAATAGAATTTCCTCTATTTTTTTTTTTAATTGGGGGTGATCAATCATAGGATTAAGGTGCCAGAGAGGCTGTGGTGTTTCCATCCTTGAGGATACTCAAAACACAACTGGACAAGGACCTAAACAATCTGCTCTATTTGATCCTGCTTTCAGCAGAGAGGTTGGACAAGATAAGCTATAGAAATTCCTTCCAACCTCAATTATTCTGTGACTGTCATTCTAGATTAGTAAGTGAACCATTACCTGGGTTTCATTGAAGTCCTCCAGGATATAGCCAGCTCCTGCTTGCAGCTGTTGTGCTATGTAATGTTTGTCGTACGGAGTCATCTCTAAAAATTCTACAGCAGAAAATTCAGTTTTTGACTATAATCTATCTGCTTATGTTCCCACACACCTCAGTCTACAGAGTCCTCATTGATTCCAGTAAGGGACCCCAGCCTTTCTCCCAACAGTATCTAGAGAAAACCCTTGGAAGAGTCCAAAAAAAAAAAAAAAAAAAAAAAAAAAAAAAAAAAAAAAAAAAAAAAAAAAAAAAAAAAAAAAAAAAAGAGGCAGCAGAAAGGGTAGCACAGCACTGGCCAGATGAGCACCTTGTCATTTTTTCCATGTTGCAGTTCACTGCATGGAACATAACACTAGCAAAGGCAAACTGGGGCAACCCATTCATGCTTTCAAGTTCTGTGTTTCCCAGCACTATCCCTTATCTCTCAAAACCTTCCTTCTTACATTAAACTATTCTGACACCCCTGATCTCACTAATTTTTACACCTTTCTTAGCTTGCTGAACAGCCCCATGATCACCACTGAGGTTTGCCAAATCTTAGGCCACAAGTTCTCTAAAGCAGAGATCAAGTCTTGGGTCCTTTCTACAAAGGATTAAAGAGCAAAAGAGTAAACAAGCACTTACACAAATGTCTGATCAGACAGTATCAGGCATTTTTCCTAAAGCCACAGCATTTCACTTGAAAATGCAACAGGTAAGATTTGCCTCACCTTCTTCCTCTTCGCTGCTCCCTGTGGGACCATCTGATGGCTTCTGGTGACCGACCAATTTGTCACTTGGTGTTGCCATGGTGAGAAGAAAGGCATAGCCCAAAAAGAGGGTCTTATTGAGGGGCAAAGGTCTGTGATGTTCCTCAAGTACTGGGGGATCTACAGCATCTACACCTTCACAGGTGCTTACAAACTCTCCAGCTCTCATAGCCCCTGCAGAGAGACAGAAGCACCTTAAGTCTTCAAAGTCAGGTTCTGCACAAACACCCTGGGTAAGATATTTCACCTGGTGCATATGTTCAACTCAGATATTTTACTGAAGGAGACAGGCAGGATTGGGCTAGGATTACACTAGGATAGGTAGGGATATTCTGGTTGCAAAGAATCTTCAAATCAAAACCTGGATGACTAATGGGACAATGTTTGCCAGTCTTATCAACATCCTGAAACAACACTGACTGCTGTGAACACTGACTCCTTTAACAGCTAGGCATTTTGGGACTGATTAAAGGGATAAGAAAGGAGGGAGACAAATCACAACAATAAAGTCAGAACATTTCTAAAAGGCAGAACTGAAAAGATGGCAGGTAAGTACTCAGACTATGCTAAATACATCTCTGGTTGAATGCATCCAGGGAGAATCAGTCTCAAACCCTGCAGGGCAAACAAGCAATCTTGCCTCCTTTTTGCTTATGAGAAGAGGAAAGATCAATTACAGAAATACCAAGGCGACAAAAAAAAAAAAAGAAGAATGCAGGTTTAAGAGCAGAAAATAAGGTTCTCACCAGGCTTTATCATTGCTGACTTGCGGCCACGTTTAGCTGGGGATTGCTCATCTTCAGATGCAACAAGTTTCCTTTTCCCAGACAGTGTGCCTGGTGGGATGCGTGGACTCTCCTGCCCTTTACGAGTGGGAGTTGTGCTGCTGCTGGAAGTGCTGGGAGAACCAAGGTTACTACGTCGCTTCCTCTTCCCCTCCACCAGATTATCTGCAATACAGTACGCAGAAATTAGTCACAGGCTCTCACCAAACTCCACGAGCTTTCATCCTACCTATCTGTACAGAGGTGGCTGAATGCAAAAGTACCTAGAAGGTACATGCCACCACCCTCTGACAGAGGAAAGCAAGAAAAAAAAGGTATCTCGCTTGTGTATCTCTCTTCTTAAGCCTGGTCTCTCTTCCTCCCAGTACTGCAGGAGATTTTGTATCAGAGCAGCCATCCACCAAGTGTACATAAGTACGGCAAGCATCACTGTCTTAGAAGCAGGCTGCTTTCCACAAGCCAGTCAATGCCACTAAGTCTCTGACCCTGAACAATAAAAGGATCTCGAAGATCCCACTGTGACGTACCAAAAGCATTAATGAATATCCAGAAATATTTAAACATTGGTAACTCAGATCAGGTACTAGAATTATCTCAAAGGCACAAAACACAGAAGAGCACAGCCAGCAGTTCAACAGCACCTCCCCTTACCAAGACTGATGTCAGCTGCTTTGGTCAGAGGGGTGACTGGTTCATAAGGACCTAGCCCAAATTGCTCACGGAGCTTATTTCCTTGTTCCGGAGACAGGATAACAGCCATTCGTTTGTACCACTTCCTCTGGCCTTCCTTTTCAATGCAGTAGTATAGCTCTGCAGACTCTTTCCGGTGTCCCTTCACCACACCTGACACGGCAACAAATAACACCTGTTAACCAACCATACCCAGGCTTCTCATTCTCCTGGAAAAGCATTTGTTTTCAATTGCATTCAGTGACTCAGAAAACCAAGGATAAAACTCAAGAACTGCTCTTACCTGCACTGAAGTACTCATCCTCAGAGAGTGCGGTCACCTCTGTCTCCAGTGGGATAGGATCACAGAGTAAAATATCTTTTCCTAGCACATCACACTCATATCCATCATCAAAGAGCAGCTTGTACTTTCCAGCCCCAACATCTTGGGTAATCGTCCCAGAATAAAAGTACCCATTTGAGGACCACTTTGCTACAACCCTGAGGCCCACAAAGCTGCTTCCAGAGGATGAGTCCGCACAGTCCAAAGGACCAGTCATCACTTGTAATGGGATTTCTGGAGAGTCGCTTCGACGTAACGCACAGAAGCCAGAAGTGTCAGATCTCTCTCCTCCACCTGGCTGGCGAACTGAATGAGTAAATGGTTTCTTCTCAGGTGATGCCACAGTTGGGAGATCCTCCACACCTGGCAGTCCAGCTAAATCTCTGTAGAAAAAAGAAAAGCGGTCCCAGAGAGATCTGAAAAAAGTTACTACGTATAGAATTCTTGGGTGACATGCTTGCAGCTGCTACATGGTATCACTAAAAACTAACTCCTTTTCTCTGTCTCATTTAAGACAGGAGTTCCCCCTTCTCCTTCTTGGAAATAAGTTACAGTCTCCTTTTTCCAGGGTACCTTGTTCCTGTTGTTCGAGATGGTGGGCGGCCTCTTCTTCCTCGTCCACGAGGTGTCACAGGTGCCCTGCCACACTGACGAGTGCCAGTCATAGAGTCCTCTTCCTCACACAGCAGTGCTCCCATCTGGCTAACTCTGAGTGGAGATGCAGGCTGCCCAGCTCCTTTCCTAGGGCTAGAGAATTTATGAGGTAATTGTTCTGAAAAGAGAAGCCAGCTCATCAGGATCCTCCCCTTTTCTCGATCATCCCCCAAAACATCCAGAAGTTTGCCTCATCGCCGCTGAACTGGAAAGAGCTTAGGCAAAGCAATGCCTCACAAGAAAGCAAAATACTACTTTAAGAACGGATGTGAAAGTAAATACTATCTCCTTATTTCTGCTCATCAAGCCAGATCTTTCCCAAAAAACTTTTGATTTAGGTCTACTCTGCTTCACGCTCACAAGCCAGATGCTCACTTCCGCAAACTATCTGTTGTTCTTTTCCCAAGACTCTGCACATACCTTAATTTTCCTAAGAAGCCTCTGCCAGTAGGTAAAGCAAATCCTCCAGTTTCTGTCCCACACGCTTTTCCTTTGACAGTTCCAGTTCCTCGTCCTGAGCTGCTGCTGCTGTGCGTGGCAGAGTGACCACTGCTTGCTCCACTGGATGTGTGGTGGAGACTTGAGGCCTTAGCTGAGAAGGAACTGACATCACCAAGATCCCCTGAGGTCAGTGACGAGCCCACTGCAGTTCTACAGGAGGAGGATGCATCAGTCTCATATTCCTGATACTCTACTACAGGCTCCTCAGTTTCCTTGAAAGAAACAAAAAGAGGTTTGTCAAAGGTGATGAGCATGCTAGATGGAAGCTCTACAACCACTGGTCCAAAGCGCAGACAAGCTGAGACCACATTCATGAAGCTGAGGACAACCATGCAGACTTGACTCTGGACTGATCCATGGTAGTGCATCTCTCACTACAGGCCTGCAGCCTGCTCCTTATCAAAAAGTCACATTAAGAATTCAGCCAACGGTGTTGTTCAGGAATACACTGTGTTGGTACCTCACAGCTCAGGGTGCAGCTGCAGTTTGAATTGCAGGTTGAACTCAAAGAGGGTGAGAGCCCCAGGCAAGAGGCCAAGCCCCAGGTAAGAGGCCGTGAACTGCATAACAAAGGGCACAGGGGCCTGGACACTTGTAGACATAGCAGGGGCCAGGACTCTGAGACTTTCCCATCTTAGACTGTGAGGGTATAAAAGACCAAGGGTTCCTTTGTTCAGGATCCCTCCCCAGAAGCACTAGCCTAAGTTGTTATTTTGTTATGTAGTTATTGCACCAAGACTAAATTATTTTAAGGATCCAGATGTCTGAGACTCTGCCATGGGAAACATGGGGTTGAGCTGGTGAGGAAACCTGTCTGACTATGTGAGTATGGGGTGTTCAGGGAGTCAAGCAAGGTCCCTGTTGACTCACTGGAGCTGCCACGACAAAGGGGCCTCAGGTCCCAGCTCAGCAGTGCAGTTGTGACTGCCAGAGTGGCTCCTGGATAGTCAAGATAGGAAAGTTTCCTTAACTGCAGAAAGACTGGTCTGGCACTGAGTAATTCCCACACTTCCAGACTGTGAGAGTGCAACAAATACACGAGACACTGGAAGCCTTTGGTTGCTCATAGAATCAGAATATGCCAAGTTGGAAGGGACCCACAAGGATCACTAAGTTTAACTCAAGGCACAACACAAGACCATCCCCAAGAGTTACACCATGTGCCCAAAAGTATCATCCAAACACTTCTTGTGCTCTGTCAGCCTTGGTGCTGTGACCACTGCCCTGGGGAGCCCATTCCAGCACCCAATCACCTCTGGGTGGAGAACCTCTTTCTATTATCCCACCTGTCACTGGTCACCACAGAGGAGAGATCAGTGCCTGCCTCTCCTCCTCCTCTCACAAGGAAGTTGTAACTGCAATGAGGTCTCCCCTCAGTCTCCTCCAGCTGAACACACCAAGTGCCCTCAGTGTCCTCACACGGCTTCCCCTCAAGGACTTTCCCCATCTTCGTTCCCCCATTTGGACACTCTAATGGCTCAATATCTTCCTTCCATCGTGTCCCCCTAAACTGCCCCAATCTTAGAGGTGAGGCCACCCCAGGGCAGAGCAGAGTGGGACAATCCCCTCCCTGGCCTGGTCAGCGATGCCGGGCCTGATGCCCCCAAGACAGGGCTGGCCCTCCTGGCTGCCAGAGCACTGCTGACTCAGGGCCAACTGACCACTGACCAGGACCCCCAGGTCCCTTTCCTGGCACTGCTTTCCAAGATCTCATTCCCCATTCTGTCCATACATCCAGAGTTGCCCCATGCCAGGGGCAGAATCTAGCACTTCCCCTTGTTGAACTTCCTATGGTTGGTGATTGCCCAGCCCTCTGATCTGCCAAGGTCTCTCTGCAGGGCCTCTCTGCCCTCAAGGGAGTCAACAGCTCCTCCCAGTTTTGTGTCATCTGCAGACTTGCTCAGTGTCCCTTCCAGTCCTGTGTCCAAGTCATTTATGAGGATGTTGGAGAGCACAGGGCCCAAGATGGAGGCCTGCGGAACCCCACTAGTGACAGGTCATCACTCTCATGTCACCCCAGTGTGCTCCACCCTTTGTGCTCCACTCGTGAGCCAATTGCTCGCTCACCGCCTGATTTGTTTATCCAGACGTGGGCTGGACATTTAGTCCAGGAGGATCCTGTGGGAGACAGTATCAAAAGATTTACTGAAATCCAAGATCGTTTTCAACAACTTATCATTTGGAGCCATTTAAGCTCTATGGATACAAAATATGTATCTACAAAATAGTTATATCAAATGGTGGTAGATAAAATGGAAATGGTTATATAATTGCGACTACATAACCTATGGAAGCACATTATAGGAAACTTAATTCTCCATTTTAATGTTACAATAAGCAATTTCATGCATGGTATCAGGTGTAAAAGTATAAGCTTTACACTGAACTAATTTATCTTTTTGTGTCATTACTTATCGTGATTACACAGCATAAGAGTCTTATGTTATGGCAGAATAGCAGTCACATTTTATTGCTAGCAGGCTGATGTGATTACTGTACACCTCAAATCAGCATTTTCAGCTATCTTTTGTGATTCCGTAAAGACTTTTTGACATACTATAACACAAGTGTACTAAAAATAGGCTAGCTTATTTCTTAGTTTTAAGTTGATTTTTGTAGACCTCTTATAGAATCTAGCCCACAGGACCCAAAAGACTGCAGCTGAAAATAACATTGAGCTGTAAAACAGAATAAACTATCTTACACAGTTCAATTTTACAAGCAGAAGTGATTTTTGTTTACTAATAGAATTTCTGCCCATTCTGAAATATCTCTATTCTGACAAAACTCCAAGACTTCTAAAACAGTTGGATGCACATCTTTCGTTCAGCTCTTTGGGAAGAAAAATCAGTGTGTCTTCAGAACACAGTAGCGGGCATGAAATACACTACCATCAGATACACAGCTTTTGCCATGCACTAAATGGTCTGCATGTTTGCTCATGAAGAAAGCTTTATCATCACAGCATGCAGACTTGTTCATTCAACTCATTTTCTGCAGCCAGAATAGTCTCATTTTAATTACTTCTATTTTTCAGCCAACATATCATTCCATTTAGTCCCAAACCCAAGAACTTACCTCAACGACTTTTCTTTCCACCTCTACACCATTGCTGTAGTAAACATCTGTTGTAACACGTGTAACAATGGTGTGCTTTTCTAGAGTGGTTCGCACATGGCGACGCTGAACCTGACCCTTGGGTGGGTGAAGAAGGTTAAACTCCTCCTCTCCCTGTAATAAAGAGGACACAGTAAAAACAAAACAGACCACAACAAAAAGCAAATGATTTCTGGATAGAGCTATCTCTGCAGTTCATACCATGTTTAACTGCTGGTCTAGGGAATGTTGCAGCATCTTGTTGCAAATTAGATGCAACAACACAAGAGACCCCAAATGAAGGAGAACTGAACACATGTTGCTGACTTGCTGACAAGTAGAGGAAGGGAAATCACAGCAGTCCAAGAAGGAAACAGCAAACTTATTTAGCATGACTTCTCATACTCTTTCATTCAATGGACTCTTAGACATATCACATCAATGTTGCACTGCATTTTTATAGCCCTGTTAATCTCCTACTCTCCACAGAATGCACTATTCTTAAATCAAGTTTAGAAAAAAATCCTTTTTCTAGTCTTTCCGTTCACAAGAAAATATACAAACTGCATCAGCAAAGCAGTGTTTTTTCTTGAGTCTGCAATACTTTCTGAAATACTAATTCAAAGTTAGTCATCTTGTTAGAATATTTCTGTGGAAGAAGTGTCCCCTGGACATTAGATGGAATGTCATTAGAACAAGTTGTCAGAAGCTTGTTGGAGCAAAACAGAAGCCATCAAACCATCCGTTCAAAATTTCATGCAACTCCCACCTGCAGCCAACAAAAAGTGAAAAACTTTTTACAGTGTTAACTATACCTGCACCCAAAAAAACTGAACCCCAAATGAAACCAACAAACCAACCAATCAAAACCTGTCACACTTTTCCAGAAAATAAATATGGAGACAATAATTTCTCAAACTTATGCTACCCAGTGAGCATTGCTACCTTAGCAGTTGTGTACAGTTGATTCAGGAAAGCTTGCAACATTAACATTTTAAAGTGGTCCTTTGGCTTTTTCCAACAAAGAATGAATTTACTGGCCGAAGTATCGGATACTTCAGTGTCCTAAAGCAGTAAAACTAAATACAGGCAGCCTTCATCCCACCTGACTGTGCAAAGAGTCCGTGTCGTCTCCAGAGGCGTTCACAAGCTTTTCCCCACTCTCGGCAGTTTGGACACTCACATCTTTTCGCCCAGGTCTCTGCCCAGACATACTGGTTCCCATTTCCACCTGTCTACACATTTCTTCTGATGTTTGTGTTGAAGTTGTAACAGTTGTTAGGGTAAAAAGACAGTCTGTTGTAGTCTGGATCCCTTTATTCTTGGTGTTTTCCCATCTCTCTTGACTTTGATCAGTTTTAACAGCCTTATTTTGTTTCCACTGCATTCTTCTCCCTTCTTCTGCCTGAGTGCTCATGACATCAGTCTCCATAGACTCTCCATCCTCTGCACCAGAAGATTGCTGATAGCAGTCCTGCTGCATCCTCTGAGGAATTAGGATCCGTCCACCACTGCCATCTGCCTTGTGTTGCTGGTACTGCCAGTCACTGGGATTTGCACGTAATTCAGCATCTTCTTCTGTGCCAGGAAACATGAACAGATTTCCCCTATAAACCAGTTACACATAGATCAAAATTACTGATTAAGAAAACAAGACAACCAATACACTGCCACTCAAGTGAAACCAATATTTAAAAAAAACCCACCCTGGCAGTCATTCAATTACAACTTAGGACTGCACAGAACTCAGTGAGCCTCAAATTATAATAAAAAACCCCTTTCAACACTTCTCAAGAGATACACGAGGTAGTAAAAGGTATGGCTGACACTGTACAGAACTAGGTGCTTTTTCAAATACTAATATAGCAATCTACACTCCACACATCAGGCACCAACTACATAACTTGCTTCAAGAAGTTACTACAGGCTGCTCCAGCACTTGTTTGGTTGGAAACTGGTAATCACATCTAGCAAGAAGCATACACCCAGCAGCATAAACACAACTGCTGTCTGAAGTTTTCATTAAAATTTGTCTGCTCTGCCAGAAGTGTTATTAGGTACTATATGGGAGTCTATACTGAGCCCTACTAGAAGTACGTATCTGGCTTCCCTCGGCTACTTTGAGGAGTGACTCTCTTCTCTTCTATCTGTACCTCACCCAGCACTGGAACTCCCTATTCATTTTAATAACTAACAGTCTTTAGTATAACTGTTCAATGCTCTTGAAACATAGGTTATGCTTTCTACATAGACCAAGACCTTACTGTCCCATCTAAAGACAGAATGGAAAACACTGAGGCAGCAGATTTCTATCCTCCAGGAAGCACCCTTGTCACGCTAACATATGCAGCTGTACAGTCCTTTTTAAAGCAGACAGCAAAAGTTGATGGACTTGGAAGGGAGATAATAGCAGAAACAATAACAAACAAAATTGGTCAGAAGATCTTGGAAGAGGAGAAAGAAAAGGTATTTAAACAGCCCTAAGCATAATCTCAATTCTCTCAAACCCTAGGTTTTACCGAAGCATATTTGTTGTCTTGAATCACATTGCTAACTCAAGAGGTAGTCTGATTACCATGTGAGATATGAACAAACAGTATTTAGTACACTTACCCCCTTGCCTCCAACCTTTTAAGTCACCCAAAGACAATGACTTAGTGCAATTTCTTTGATGCAGAAAATGCACATGTGCATATAAATCCACCCAGGACTGGCAGGCAAAGACTGTGAGGAGTTACCTAAATGGAGAAGTGGAAAGACCACGACCTCTGGCCTCATCCTCCCGACGAACTTCACAGACACGACTAAACACAGATGATGCTTTCTGGGAGCTAGCAGTGCAGATTTAAAACAAACAAACAAACAAAAAAGCATCAGGGAGTGAGAAAATCCCTTACCCAGCAAAACAAGAATTCTTTAGCCCCTTGGGAAGGCAGCAACTGTTGTATTGGGCTTGTTGACCTACACAGACACAGAATAAGTGAGATGGTCTGTCTCAAAGGTCAAGAAACAAGCTGCCAATTGCATAAGCATTTTTGTCATTTCTGCAGACATCCTAAAAGCCAAGAGCAATGTAACAATTTCAGGAAGTGTAGTGTGGAAAACTACAGCACCATCCAGAGTTTCAGCATCTACTTCCTCTGGTACCCACAAGGGGGCACAGTTAGATCATTTATGGCTTACGTTTTTTAGGAATTTCACATCACCACAAAAATACCGGGAATAAAAGCAGACTCTGAGAGTTCATGTTCAACCTATACCTACAAAGGAAACCCATCCTCAACCAGCGAGAAATGCCTACCACCCATCCTCAGCACTGAGGCATGATAACCATCCAGCATGCAACCCTGTGACAAGAGGTACTGAGTTTATTCAGAAGTTTTTTCACTACTTCAAACCACTATACTTCACTCAGATGACTACAGGTCAGTCTTCCTAGTCAGATTCCTATTAGTAGTTATAAATGATACCTCTTGAAAGCTAAAATAAAGCAATGCTAGGCATTAAATGTGAAATAAGACAGATACATACAAATCAAAAGACCAAGGGAGTAACTTCTGTTTTGGTCAATGTCTCTAACTGTGATTTCTAGATATCCATGAACTGATTATGCTTTTATCAGCTTCATATCAAAAAGATAATACTCTTTAGGGACTTCTCAGAGATTCTTTGCAGAAAATTGCCCAAGACAAGAAAGTAGAAAACCATATATTTGCAATTTAGGAGGTGGATAAAGCAGACTTGCACTCTGGACTGCACAAGATATGAATTTCTGGCTGACTACAATCAGAAGGAAGCAAAATGCTGACATTGTTAGGAAGGAAAAAGCCTGTAATGAACAAGCAGGTGGGGTTCCCACCTTGCCTATGTAATTAAAACCTGCTAAAGAGTTAATGTCATGGCTACTGCTAAAAGCGTTCCTTGCTTCTGCATCTCCCGATTTTTTTTTTCTCTCCTGATGGTAATGTGTGGAAACAGGATCTACCCAGACCTTTGTATTAACTCCGCACAGCAAGAAGCCCAGTTACCTGGCAGCAGTCCTAGCAGCAGCAGAGGATCCATCTTTCCTGTCTATAGGCTCTGAAACAAAAATGAAAGAAAAGATGATTTTGGCATCATCCAAAAAGACTCTTCTGCCTCTTTCCAGCTCCCCACATTCAGTGAAGAGAGGTTGAGTAACACTGGACAAAGGGTGCCCAGGCTTCCCCATCCAACTTCTCAGAACAGATCAGAGTTTCTACAAGTTTTAGACTATTAGACTGAATGTCACTGTTCTGACTCAAATACTGTCAAACTTTTTTTTTTTTTGTCCAGATTATGGACGGGTCCAAGGAGGCCACAAAGGTAATCAGAGGGCTTAAGCACCTCAGAGCCACCTACAGAGACAGGCTGAGAGAGCAGGGGTTGCTCAGCCTGGAAAAGAGGCGGCTTTGGGGAATCTCACTGCAGCCTTTCAGTACTTAAAAGTGGGCTTATAAAAAAGAGGGAGAGAGGCTTTTTACACAGGCATATAATGACAGGACAAGGGGAAACAGCTTTAAACTAAAAGCCAAGAGATCTAGATTAGATGCCAGAAAGGAATTATTCCTTGTGAGGATGGTGAAGCCCTGGCACAAGTTGCCCAGAGAAACCATGGCTGCCCTATCCCTAAAAGTGTTCAAGGCCAGGTTGGACGGGGCTTGGAGCAACCTGGGATAGTGGAAGGTGTCCCTGCCCCATGGCCGGAAGGTTAAGACTAGATGGTCTTTAAGGTCCTTGCTGACCCAAACCATTCTATGATTATATATATATATATATATATATATATATATATATATATATATATAAAAACATAAAATCTTTTCCTTCCCAATACAATCAAACTCCACTTCCTGTCCTGTGACGTTGCCACTACACATCACAATTTTTAGTCTTCTGGAAATACTCTTCCTCACAACAGAGGCCTCTCCTCTCAACTCCATCCTTGCTTAGCGCATTGCAGAAACAGAGAAACAAATTTAAGTGACACATCCCAAAAAGAAAAATGAGAAAAATTGCAGAGACTCAGAGACTGTCTTGGAGAATGCCAAAGAGAGGTTTTGAGTTAGGGTTGAGATCCAGCAGGACCTCTACATTTCAGGTTTCGTCCTCTTACTTTCCAAACTGAATGGCAAGGACTCCTCACTCCCATCGTTCACAGGGGTAACAAGGTTCATTCGCAGAGAAAGTTTTGCATCCAACTGAGGAACCACACCCAACTCTCCCTTCTCACACACTTCTGACACATCTGCTGACACCACTGCACTTTCCACAGTGACATTGTCGGTCCCCATTGTGCTCTCTGCTGTAACATCACTGGTTGCGATAGTGCTGTCTGGACAACTACCATCCACTGAAAACAGGAAAACAAAAACAAGAAAAACAAGTAGCAGCTACTGTCATTCACACTGCTGGGGTTCAGGTCCTAGTTCTTATTTGAAGACGCTTCACTGCATGCCTTGTTAGTAATGAAATGGTGCAATAGTGGAAATTCCTTTCTAGATATTAAGCATGAAAAGTCTGTAGCATAGGTATCTTTAGCTTGTGACAGAATATTTTATTATTACCCAAGCAGAACACACTTCCTTTCATCCAGCACTAGCAAGGTGTTTTTTTGTGAGCTTAGCAGAGAAAGTCCTGCTAAAAGATGATGAATACTGGAAGCAATCTTCTTTTAGTCTAAGTTCTTTCACCACTCAGAAGGTTCTTTTACATTCTTTAACGGAGTCAATACGCAGAACGCAGTGAGTACAAGGAAGATATACTGCCCTGTACTCAGGGAGCAAACACCTTCACTAGAGACCCAGGACAAAACATGGCAAGGAAACCGTGCGGAAGGGATGAGCCCTCCCCACAGAACAGCAATGCAGCAATGGTTTTTGCCAAGGTAGGTTTGAGTTATCCTATCAGATCCTGCGCCAAGAATCAAAAGCTTTCAGGCTTCCACTGCAGAACAGAGCCATTCAGGTCAAACTCACCAATTGGTGTACTGTGTCTTCTGGGTCCCATTTTAAGGTGACCAGTAAGAGGTGGTGTTATGCTGGTCAAGGGCTGAATGATATCACCCTCCTTTGGCAAAGTAAGATGAAATGGGGTTCCTAAAAGACACAGAGCACAAGGATTAATAATTTCAGGGAAGTACTTTAGTTCAAATACCAAAAGCACAGGCTCACTGTGCTGTGAAAACAGGGAAAAGTATAACACTGGTGCTGTACAAAACCCCCCTGAACAGTTACTGGTTTCAGGACAGCTGCTCTGATTTTCCTCATATTTTGTGTGGAAAATCTGTTTCAGTGAAAATCTGGGCTGTGCTCAACTTGATGCAGATGTTCCCAGGTGCTAGGTAAAAGGGAGACTCAATAACCTGACGTGAATAGGACTTTTACAGAAGGCAGGTTTGCTTAAGAAATGCCCAGGATTTTCCACAGAAAACAGACATGAAGGTTAGGACAGAAATGAATTGGCAGAGTTATGTGATGCCTGAATTGATAACCTGAAATTTACACAGAATGATGGCTGAAATGGCCTACCCTATCACAGAAACAACACCTTGGTGGACGTGAGGATCTTGCAGGATTTAAATAAATCAAAATATTTAAATAAATCAAAAACCTAGTAAAATGCTCCTTCCTTTTACCTCATCCCATGCTATTCATTTGCAAACTTTCAAGAAGTAATTTTCATAATCCTCTCACAAAAAAAAAATGCCCAATCAGCAAAAAGTTATCTATCATCTCTTTGAAAACTCTGAAAACCATGACTGGCCTGTATATCACAGGCTTTAAAGATACGGTTCAGTAATTCCAAGATCCTGAAGATAACCTAAAAACTTCAGAGTATTTTTGCAGTGGGTAGTTACCTCATAGTGCAATGGTACTCACACATTGGATGGTCAATCACCATTCCTCACAAACAGCTTATGAATGCATGTCACATACTGGTCTAAAGTAGATTTCCATTTAAAAACTTTTTCATTTAAAAACTGAAGTATTTACAAACTCCACTGAATATTGATTGATCTAGCCACCGCAGTCCCTTCTAGCCTATAAATCCCCATTTGGCAGGCTAGTAACAAATGATGAAAAGAATTTATTAAGTGATCATCTGCATTTTAATAAGAGAGAACCTAATTACTAAATCAATGAATTCCCCTAGAGAGAACACAAACAAGCTTTCACAAGACCTGAAAACGACATGAATGCCTCAAAGCTTTCACATAACTGTCTCAACTGTCATGCCAATGAAAACAGTTTATTAACAGAAATAAATTTTTCTTATGTACTTAAGACCATCAATTCGTCCATTTGGAATTAAATCTGGCATGGGATGTCAAAGAAGGGTTTCTTCAAGAACATCAGCAGCTAAAGGAAGCCTAAGGAAAAGGTGGGCCTGCTGCTCAATGTGGTGAGTGCTGTGATGAAGGTGGAGTTACTGAACACCTGCTTTGCTTCATCTTTACTACTAAGGCCAGCCCTCAGGACACTCAGACCCTCGAGGCAAGAGAGAAAGGAAGACTTTCCTTTAATCAAGGAGGACAAAGTTAGAGATCATTTGAACAAATTTGATACCCACAAATCCACAAGCCCTGATAAGATGCACCCACGAGTGCTGAGGGAGCTGGCAGATGTTACTGCTAAGCCACTCTCCATCATTTTTGAAAGGTCATGGAGAACAGATCAGGTTCCTGAGGGCTGAAAGAAAGCCAATGTCACTCCAGTCTTCAAAAAGGGCAAGGAGGACTCGGGGAACTACAGGCCAGTCCATTTCACCTCCATCTCCGGAAAGATGATAGAAGAACTCATCCAGCGTGTCATCTCCAGGCATGTGGAGGAGAAGGTTATCAGGAATAGTCAGCATGAACTGACCAAGGGGCTCGACTAATCTGGCAGTGTTAGGCAACAGTAGCCTTTGGTGATGGAATGACTGGCTGGGCAGATGAGGAGAGCAGTACATGGTATCTATATTGACTTCAGCAAGGTTTTTGACACTGTCTCCTGGAGCATCCTCATAGGTAAGCTCAAGAAGTGTAGGTTGGATGAACGGACAGCAAGGTGGATTGAGAACAGGTTGACTGGAAGAGCTCGGAGGGTTGTGATCAGCAGCACAGTCTAGTCGGAGGCCTGCAGCCAGGGTGTCCCCAGGGGTCAGTGCAGGGTCCGGTCCCGTTGGACTTAAATTATCAGTGACCTGGATGAAGGGACAAAGCCTGTCCCCAACAAGCCTTCACCCAAAGTTTGTGCTAACTGATTTATTCTTAAAATCTGTTGATAAGGGATTAGACTCCTAAAATACTTATTATGAAAATAATTATTATGAGAATGAAGCTACTTTAAGAGTAGAAGGATGCTCAGCTGGTCTTCATGCCTTAAGGACCGAGCAATGGTAAGAGAGCAAATATCACTCTACATACTTTTCTACCATACTTCATCAGTCTGAAGGCAGCAGGCAGAACACTTCAAAAACCTGAACTCTCTCTTAACACTGATCAGCCCTTTAGTGTAATACAAAAGCACAGAACGCAACCACCAGCATTAACTTCTGAGCTCATTTTCTCCAAACAGTGGCTTACAGTTTTCTTTGAAAAGTAAACACAGCCAGTTGTGATGTGTTTAAATTGCATGTATAGATTTTCTATAATAAAGCTTTTTTTCTTCTTTCAGTTAAAGGAAATTAAAAATAATAACAAAATTATTATAATAAATTAAGAATATTGTACCTAAAACTTAATCATTCAACTTAATGTTAAGTAACATTTGAGGTCCTACAATAATCTTTCCTCTTCCCTAACAGACTTCCTAGAGGGGAAATACATTTTCTCACACTAAAATCAAGTTCCCTTGTTCTTCATTCATTCTCACTTAAGGACTACAGAACTGTGTTTTAAAATTAAGCCAGTTAAGAGGCAAAAGCTTCACAAAACACAGGTGTAGCATCCCACGTCTCGTATAACTACATACATCAAAGGGATTTCAATGAATCATGGTAACTCCTGCTGAGCCACATCTTGCATGCGAGTGAAGATAAATTTGCTGTATTAGTTTCTAGCTCAGAGTTGCTCTGTACAAAGACAATTCTCCTCTGAGAATGAGGAAAAAAAAAAAAGGGTAAGGAGACTACAAGAGGGAAAGTACTGACTATCACACACATTCAAGGACACTGCTGTTGCTGCTTCTTGAGTGGGGGAGAAGTTACAAAAATCCCTGAACATTATCAAGATCACAACATTCTGAGTTCTTAAAGCTCCCCTTTGTTTCTACCATATAAGAGTTACAAGTCTTAGGAACAAGAATTAGTTTATCATTCTTGTCCTGCACTAGCGTGGCGCAGGCGGAAACAAGGGCACATTCTGCATGTAACACAGTAACTTGTAGTGCTGCTCTTAAGAGAGACTGTTCAACTTGCATCCAGGATCAGTGCTCCCTGAAAACATTGAGAATTGTATACAGCTGTCTCCCTCACGTTATTCAAAATACACACCTGTGAACTACTAACCTAAATTCACTTACCACTGGAAGGACGGGGGGATTTAGCAGTTGCCTTCTTCTGTGGCTGCACCTGCTCTTCTTGCTCCAGATTCCTTGTCATAACAGTATCCTCCATACTCTTTGGCACCTGATTCTCGTGCTGAACCACCCGTGTTTCAAACCCTTTCTCTTGAAGTGGTGGCTGATTGCTTATCATCATTACCTGTCCCAATTCTGAACAGCCTAGATGTTTTTTGGCACACAATGCCACTTCCAACTGAACATCACTCTTTATCTTAGGACACAAATTGTTGTGTTGCTCCGGTAACTCTCCTACAGAAGGTTTAGCTAAAACTTTATTGAGCTTTGGCACGTTTTCTGCAACAGCCTTAGAAGACAGTTTACCCAGGTTCTTTGCCTCACCACTGTCAAAAGTACAACCTTTCGAACATTTTTTTTCCTGACCTTCTGATTCAATCTCTTCTAAGTCCTGGGCCCGATCAAACAGATTTTTTCTCTTTTTACAAGAATCATCAGCAAATTCCACTTCCATATCTTCATTACATTGTCCTTCCCTTTCAAGAATAAATCTCTGAGAAAGTGTTATATTAACAAGAGACCCATCTTCATTTACTTGCTTCTCCTTTATTTGCATTTTTTCTTCTTGTTCTTCACATTGCGTCTCAGGAACTGCCTCAGGTTCATAAGTCTCTTCAAATGGAAAATCCTCAGACTGTACTTCTCTACCCCGAGCATCTGATAAAATCTCAGGCAGACCAGACTGATCTGCAGCAGCCTGATTTCCAGAAACACACTCGATCTCCTGATGAGCTGTAGGGGCTAATGACCCATCTCCTGCAACACCTGCGCTAACAAACTGCCCTACAGGCACTCCTGCAGCCCATACATCCTCCGTTTTGGCTTTTTCACAGTTTTCAGAGTGTACTTGATAACCTGCATTCTCTTTCAGTTTTATTTGGTTATTCTCTAGTCTCAAGTCAGAGGCCTTGCATTCAGAAATCCTGTCTACCTGTGTGGTTTCGCTGTCTTGGCCTGTGTTCAGAGAACCTGAACTGATGTCTGTATTCATGGGCTGGCTACATACACTTGCAGAAAGCATCAGCTTACAGGACTCAGAAGGCTTTGATGCAAAGTCGCCTATAGATATCTTTGACAAAGCATCTGTGGGTTCTGAGAGGTCTCCTGATAAGCACAAAGGGATTGAAGCAGCAGTTTTTTCTTCTCCTTCATGCTTCTTCTCTGGGCTCTGAGTTGGAACAAAGATGTCCTAAAATGAAAGAAGTGGGACATGGAGTATTAGGGCATCCCAAGTAGGACTGTTTATTTATTATTCCTAAGACATTACACTGGATTACGGAGTAGAGCCAGCTCAGCACAAAACTACAGATAAAACCTCTACTAACAAAACCAAAACCAACCAACCAAATGAAAATACAAAACTTTATTTTCACCAATGTACGAGTCATGATTGTCCTATTCTTGCTGAGAAAAATTATCACCACACATTACTATTTAGTATGTCTGTGGCAAAGCTGGACACAATTTTTGGTACACTTCTCACTACCAAATCACAAAATATAGGGCAAGTCTGGCAGATTAGTAGCTAGCTATTTCTGGTTAAACAACCAAGAGTTCTGGAAATATTCTCTGCTATATCTATTAACATGAATGCTGTTTCCAACTCAGGAAAAACTCTGCTTCAACTAATGAAGTTTCTAGCACAACCTTTATTTTCTGCCTTAAGTTGATGAGACTTGTAATACTAAGCTATAAATCCAACAACTGCCTGCTAAATCCCTTTGTACAATTATAATTTCCAAAATCAAAAAGCACAAAGGAAACAAGAGATAATAAGAATAAGCAACTTGAAAAATGCAGTAAATGAATTCTAGCCTAGCAGAATATAAATGCTCTATTATGAAACAGCTTCCCTTTCTCCACAACAAACAATGCTAAGGTCTAGCCTGATAAAAGTCTAATTTATGATGCAGTTTGAAACGCAAGATGCCAAGTTCAGCATAAGAAAGGAGTGGCCTTCCTCCTTTAGAAAATAAAATTTAAAAAAAAAAAAACAACAAAAAAGCTTTCTAGCATAGTCTAAGATAACAACAACTTCTATGTTCGGTAACTCACTGTGCCCTCTTAAGCTGTTCTGCATTTTCTCTGCAGGTAAAACTGCTACAATCAATATATAATTGTGACTGGTGGGAACAGGGAAGTTCATGAGAACCATCTTAGTCAGGAAGCTCAACATCAGGAAGCTCAACACAGAAGCAGAGGTTGACTCAAACACGTCTTCTGCATCAGCCATATAAAAACCTCACAAAAGATATCTACATGAACCCTTACATGAGAAAACTCTGGTTGTGATGGTATAGGTACAGATCCAGACCCAGGAAAGAAGGTTGGTGCGCTCAGGGACACTGGAGTTGAAGCCTGTGGCTGGACAAGGGGTCTTGGAGGAATACATGGGTTGGCCATCTCCACCAGCGTATCATCTCTCTGCTTTTGCATCAGTTCTCTTCCTTCTGCAGGAATAGATATATCCACCTGTTCATCTAGTTTGAAAGAGCAAAAGAGATATTACGGACAAATTCTTGCATTGTTTCTAAAGTTTCCAACATGCTACTGAAAGATTCATCTTTAGTGGCATATTTAACTTCGTAGAATCTTCTCTACAGGAAGAATCTTCTGGAGGAGAAAAAAAAAGATCAACAAAAACATCCATGTCCTTACATTCAAATGGGGGAAGCAAGTGTGTTTTGCTACAAATTCATATGACTATTTTGCTACAGGTCTAGAACTTCTACAACTAAAAAAGATATCTGAAATTTATCAGAAGCATTTTTCTGAGGATTTTTTTTCCTTTTGCTATCTTTATTAAAATGTAACTAAATTCAGACCCCAGCTAACAAAATATCCATCCTAACAGTATGTTACAGAAAGGAACAGCTGATTTTGTATACTAAAAGTCTGCATATCAGGGATATGCAGATATCCCTGATGGTGAACAGGTGCTTAGAGAAAATTTTTAAGAACCAACGTATCATATGGAACATACGGAACAATCTTTTGGCATAAGGTTCTAGAATTCACACATATAGCATATGAAAGCTTTTTAAAATATTGTGCAAGTCATCTCTGTTAAGGTAAAATAACTGTTACGATGCAGTCCTTATCTGTCTTTCCTATTGCCCTAACAGTATAGACTTAATACAAGTATCTGCCTATAGCAAGAATGGATAGTCCCTAAGAAAGGAGGACAATTGCAAGCAGCAATCTGCATCCCATACAAAGTATTTCCCACCTTTCAAGTAAAGGAGAGCTAGCCAACAGTACTAATTTTATTATGATAGTGAAGCAGGAAGTATCGACAGAGAGTGAATATAAAGAATTAGAGACAACGGTCACAGATACAGATCTCCCTTTATCTACCCTCACTCAGTGTTCTCAGTCCTGCTTTACTCCTTAAATATAATTTTAGCAAGTTTTGAAAAGGCTGCAAGCTCAGACTAAACCACAGAGCACTGAAACACAAACCACAGACAGTACGCACAACATTTTACCTTTTCCTTGCTCTTGTTCAGTAGGACTGCTGGGGACAAGAGCACTGGCTCCAAAGGCAACAGGAGGTGGAATAACTAGGCCCGAAGAGACACTGCAGACCAAGAAAAGGGAATACGGAAATGAACACCACACCTCACTAAACCATGCATTAAGTTCTCTCCTTATCAAGCTCCAGCTTGTCACAGCAGGACTCTTCTCATGAAAGGAGTGTCAGGTGTTCACGAGCAAAAGACCAGCAATGGTCAATGGACCACATGGACACCATTAGTTCATTTCATTGCAAAATAAAGCCATGCTCCCTCCATGGTGCAAAAATAATACACTGATTGCTTAAGATCAAGCACAGATCCTTGAATAAAGAAGAGAGTGATGGAAATGCACTACTGAAATAAAGTTATTGCAATAGTTTGGAGATGTTTTGCTTACACGGAATGACCCTCCTGTACAAGGACTGCCTGTCCAGAGAGCTGCAGGACATGCAGACTGCGGGCAGGGGTACAGGCCAGAGAACTTCCCTCTTCCACTCTGGTTATTGGACAGCCACTCCCTGCAGTGATTTCAAACAAAAGGAAATAAAGTTAGAAATACGACCAATAACCAAGGTGATCAGAAAATTCTGAGGAATTAAATTCATGCTATTGCACAATTACTTTTCAGATAGGCAAGGACAAGCTGATCTTCACAGAGTTTGAGAAGGACTGCACATGGAAGTTCAGTATGTGAAATGTAAGCACAATATGGTTCAGATGAAAAGGATAAATTTGAATAGATTTTAGACTGTACAAGTCTTCCTCCCCTGAGAATTTAAAAAAAAATCCCCAATGGCTCCAATATCAGCACATTTGAACCAGCACTAGAATGCAAATACATGCAAGGTTCTAGTAAGAAAAGACATCTTGTGTTGACCACTGACTTAGTGTGAGGAGAAGGTTGTTACTGAACCTTCTGGATACAGAGGGTTCATGCACAAGGTCATACTGGTATAGACATGACTGGACATAAATTTGTCTACACTACTTATCCACATTTTACATGGTATGTCACTACCAAGGGTGAGCATTATTACTGCCAGTTTCAGAAGAGGGTAAAAGGCAGGCTTGGGTTTTGTTCTTCAAGGGGCACAAAAGAAAGGAAATTAAATGTACTTAACAAGCCAGGGTAACTGTTCTAACAGGAAGTGACATTTAGACATTGCTCCATAGTATAGTGAAAGAGGTTGCAGCCTTTCATTTCCAAAGTGTTCTCAATTTTAACAGAAATTACATGAAAAATACAGCACTCTACACCCTAAAACACTATACGTCTATAAAGATCAAGTAGGTATAATGCTTACAACTATCCCTGGGATGGATATTTTGGCTCTGCTTGTCCATTGTTACCTGTTGCATGATTCTCAGGAAACATTTCTTCCTGAGTTGACAAGATATCTGACTCCTCATGACCAGAACTAAGGGATTTCTCAGTTTTACTGGGGTCACTGACAGGCATTTTCTTCCTGATATGCTCTTCTGCTTCCTGAAGAGTTCTAGAAAGGCAAGACACAGTCACTGACCTGAGAAAATCAAAGTATTAAGTAGGACTACAATATTGTAAAGAAAACCTATCAGAACAGGTGAAAGGTATTCACTTGTGCATAATACAGGAAAAAAAAGAAGAGAAGGACGACTGACCTCGCCTGACAAAATACCGTTTTCATCTTTGATGAGTTATACTTTCAGAATTGGTTTTTAAGTTTTCTACCAACCTAAGCGATGCTTAAATGGAATGCACATTGTTCTACTGACTTCTATTCAATGTGGATTCTAGGAATTTTCTTTCATCTCCTTTTTAAGGTTATTTTGTAGCAGAATATGATAATACAAGATAAGCTAAATATTATACAAATTTTATGCCAGATAAAAAGTATTCAAGAAACTGAAGTTTCACACTTAAAAATAATTAAAACTATAAAGCTTACAATAGCAAATACTCAAAAATTGTCCTGGAATATGCACCACTTAGCTTCTAGATTTCTCCTGCACAGTGAAGCCCACACTACAGTGATTATGTTATTTCAAGACAACTTCTGTGACTTCAAATGAATTAACGCTTCTAGTACATTCTAGTCATAAAACTTCAAGAAAATTATTAATATATTTTATTATGCAGTGCACTCTCCCTTATTGATACTGCTATCTTTGTGTGTAGGAGGTTGACATCACCTCTTTTCTCAGCTATGAATGCTAAGAGCACTCTTTAGTCAGCACTGCTGCGAAAAGGTCTCAGCAGTACTTCATCTTTCCCTTCACTTTTCCCTTTTGCCTTGAACCCTCTCCTATGTCCAAAAATCTAGTTAAAAGAAGGACACAAATCAGCTTCCAGAATGCCCATAAGAGACCTACAAAGAAGACAGACTGTTTTACCTTTCAGACTTCTCTGCCTGGCTTTTCAAAGCAGTATGTGCTTCTGTGCTGGAGACGGTTTCTGTCCTGTCCCTATGCAGTTCTATGAAGAGAGATTAAAAAAAAAAAACCAAACTGCTACTCTTGTTACAAACAAGAAAGTGAAAGTGTAGTTCTGTAAAAGTGTAG